ATATTTATGAGAGAGAGAGAGAGAGAGAAAGAGAGACAGTAGAGACAGTATCAGACTGTCAGGGTAAGCCTCTCTTAAGGTAGTTTTGATTAGAGAGAAAGGCTTTTCTTAACCTTTAGATTATAGTCAGGAGATTAAAGTATATCCCAAGGTCTATGAAGAATAAGATGGACAAAGAGGACTGGGAATTAATATTTCTAACCATGAAGACTTGCTGTTTACTATGAGAGAATCAGATGATAGTGCCAAGATCAGATGATAATGCCAAAAGAGTGGCTAGATCTGCTCCTTGAACCATTTCTTTCTGACTTTAGCGACAGCCATGAACCTTGAGAAAATAGATAGCTAAAGTGTAAATTATGTATGATTTAGCTGGCCACAGGGCCTGATGGAGCGTAGGCATTCAGTTATTCTGTCAAGGCCAAAGAACATAACAGGATATTGAGAGCGAATACTTTGAACCTTTGTAGCTCGAACTTCTCAGTACTCTGATCTCTGTATTGCTGCTTCCCTCTCCCATAATCTTCAGTTATTTTCCTTATTTTTTTCTTATATTCTTCTTCATGATTTTCCATCATGTTACATTTAGTGTTAGGATATTTTCTATTATGTAGGAAGACTAATGTTCGTAACAATCATCAAGTTTGTTAGGGAAATACTTTTTAAAAAAATTGATTACCTTATTTGTCCACAAAGGACTTTCAGGAATGCTTGGGTTTCAGAAAGATGTAAATAAGCATTGATCAGGTAAACAGAAGAGACTATTTTTGAGTATGTATGGCCGTCTTAGAAGCATATAAGGAGGTTACCATCTTAGAATTGGGTCAGATATATATTTATTGATAAAGACATAAAGTACTATGGAATTAATGCAAATAATATAATAGCATCTCTTATGGTTCCATAAACTAAAATTATTGTGCAGTATGTTTTGTGAATGGTGGAGCTTTTGCTTTTAAATTTTAAAGTTTTCTTTCTGAAACTAGATAAAAGGTATTCAAGGTAGTGATAGACAAACACAAAACAAATAGGCCTTTAAGATGTGCTCATGCATCAAACAGTTTTTTTTTTTTTGAAATGGAGTCTCGCTTTGTCGCCAGGCTGGAGTGCAATGGCGCGATCTCAGCTCCCTGCAACCTCTGCCTCCTGGGTTCAAGCGATTTTCCTGCCTCAGCCTCCCAAGTAGCTGGGACTATAGGCACACACCACCACACCCAGCTAATTTTTGTATTTTTAGTAGAGACGAGGTTTCACCATGTGGGCCAGGATGGTCTCGATCTCTTGACCTCGTGATCTGCCTGCCTTGGCCTTCCAAAGTGCTGGGATTACAGGTGTGAGCCACTGAGCCCAGCCCATCAAACAGTTTTATCTTCAGAGATGGATTATCAAATGAACAGACACTAAGCTGTTTTTTTTTTTTGTAAAACAACTTGACTATAAGAAAAATTAGACAGATGTGAATCTTTACAAAACTCTAGACATTTAGAGTATTAGTATTACAATATTCAAAGTGAAAGTGTGCTAAGCAATGTAAAAATCCAAGATTATTTCAGATATGTTAAAGCATGTATTTGTTTAGCAAAATGATTTAAGAATATGAAAAAGTGAAAAGCCTACATTTAGACTGTCAGAAAAAAATAGTGTGTTAAGAAAGTATACTGTTAGGTAATGTAACATGAAGATTTCACTCTACTTAGGTAAGTGAAAATTGAAAAAGAGTCTGCTTTTAACCAAGTGAAAAGGATAATTAAAAAGCATGAATATTAAGAAAATGGAAATTGATGAGATATTTGTCTGTTTATGAGAATAAATAGAGAAACAATAAGCCTATCCAACCAACTTGTATATAAATCTACAGGTCCAAATGAGACACACTGTAGTTATGTAAAAGAACTAATGGAGGACCTCTTGGTACCTCTGAGAAGGTACTTCAGTAAATCATGGGTATCAGGAGAGGTGCCCAAACACAGGAAAATTGTGTTACCTCACTTGAAGAAGGGTAGGAAAGAAGCCTCAAGGAACCAATACCCCAAAGGCTAATCCAAAAAAAAACCAAACAACAAAAAAAAACCTGATTTTTTTACTTAGTATAGTCTCCCTTAGGAAATAAACTCCTTAATAACACTTCTTAAACATAGTTTTTGTTAAGTCATGCTAATACTTTTCAGAAAAATATAAGGCTAGCTATAATTTCAAAATAGCTTAAGCAAGTTAATAGCTTACTCAAGTATACTGGATATGATGCACTTAAACTTATATATTTATGCCATACTATGAAATAAAACTTGATTGACACAAAAGTAGGAGGGTGGGCCAAGATGGCCGATTAGAAGCAGCTGTGGTCCAGGACTCTCACACAGAGGAATGAAAATGGTGAGTGAATTCAGCACTTTTAACTGACGTATTCAGTTTCTTGCATTGGGAGGGACTAGGCAGACAGCTCCACCATGGAGGGTGAGGTAAAGCAGGGTGAGGTGATGGCTCACCCAGGAGCAGCAAAAAGCCAGGGAGCCCCCACCCCCAGGCAAAGGAGGCTGTATGTGATTGTGTGACCTCGCCTGGGGAAACCAGGCTTCTCCCACAGATCTTTGCAACCTGTGGATTAGGAGATTCCCCTCGTGAGTCCTGCCACCAGGGCCTTGGGTCTAAAGCACAGAGCTATGTGGAGTCTCGGTGAAGCAGCACTAGGGCACACACAGAGACACAGGAGTTTTGCATACTCCCAGCAAGGCAGGAAATCAATCCATGCATTCCCTTAGGAAGGAGGCTGAATCCAGGGAGCCAAGCAGTGCCATTTTACAGACCCCACTCCCAAGGCAACTCACAAGTTAAGAACTACTGGCTTGGAATTCCACCTGGCCAGCAGCAGAAGGCTGGAGACTGCCTGAGACAGACTGAGTTCCCAGGCGGAGGGAGAGCCGCCATCTCTGCAGTTCAAGTCAGCAGTTCTAGCCTGCCTGCTCCAGGGAGTCTGGGCAGTCTAGACTGGGAGGAGTTCCCCACAAGACAGCACAGCTGCTATGCCAGATTGTGGCCAGACTGCTTCTTAGAGTGGGACTCCACTATGCCAGACTGTAGGGTCAGACTGTTTCTTTAAGTGGGACTCCAGTCCATCCCTCCTCACTGGGCAGGGCCTCCCTGCAGGAATTTCAGCAACTCCAACCAGGGTTATACATACAGAACTCACAGAACTCTGATCTCTCCCTGGGGGGCGGGGCAACTGCTGTCTCTGCGGTTCAGCTGACTTAGCCTTTTCAGCCTGCTGGCTCTGGAGAGTCCTGGTGGTCTGGATGGAGGGGGGTTTCCCCTACGGCAGCACACCTGCTCTGCCAAGGGGCAGCCCGACTGC